AAATCTATAGAAGTCTATCCAATTAATGCTCCATATCTCCATGTTCATATTAATATAAATTTTCAGGTGCAAGATTCCCAAGATGTCATCAAAGATGGGCGGATTCGAGTGGTCTTCAGTGTGCCACACGAGCCACAGCTGGAGCCCTTAATCCAGAACCAACACGTAAGACGAGCTTTCGAGTCATTCTGTGGATACGTACGTTTAGTTTTGCGAGTTTTCTCCCCTCACCGTATACGTTTTTGTGTGTGTCGTGTAGAAATACAGCGTGAAATACAGTCCTGGGTACGTTCTGGCCTCTCGTCTCGGCATCACCGGTTACCTCGTCTCCCGCTTCTCTGGAAGCATCTTCATTGGTAGAGGCTCTAAGAAGAAGTGAGTGTTTATGTAGAAATGCCAAAAGGATATCTGCAGTGAGCTGTTGTTGGCATCACGTCACGTGTTCAGGTACAGTCCTTGTCTAAGCTTTCAGTCTTCTTCACTGTGTCCAGTCCCTGTGGGGAGCAAAGAGCTAACGTTGGCCTGAACCTGAAGTTCAACAAGAAGAACGAGGAAGTTCCCGGATACACCAAGAGAACTGAAAAAGAGTGGCTCTACTCTGCTGCTGTGGAGGAACTGCTGGCTGAATACCTGGACAGGTAAAACAAAATGAGTCGCTTTGAAAACCGCTGTTCTTTAACTTATGTTCGGTTATCCTATGAAGCTTTTACAAATGATGGTGCGGTTGTGTTTTTTTGTAGATTCTCAGAGGTATTCAATACAGTGGCCAGAAACAGTCACGACGATGTTTTCTATGAAGATGACATTTGGCCTGGAGAAGACCAGAATGGGTAACGGACGGCATATACTTAGACGCTTCAGCCATGTGGGCCCTGGCCTTATTTACAACAACAACAACAACAATCTTTATTTATAGAGACATTTAAAAACCAGCGGTATACCAAAGTGCTTAACATAAAAGACAGAGAAGTAACACGAGTATTATGAGGCCTTAGCAAAGTATCAAATATCCTCACAGGTCAATGCCACTAATACACAGGGGTAATATAAAATGCATATCAAAAATAAAAACATAATAAAAGCACAAGCCATAAGAAAAAATAGAATATGTCTAAAAGTCAGGTGCGAGCATTAACAAGCAGGAAAGGCGAGATTAAACAAATAGGTTTTTAACCGTGATTTAAAAGATTGGATGGAATCAGACGCCCGGATCACAATCGGAAGGTTATTCCACAACTCTGGTGCAGCCAGGGCAAACGCCCGGTCACCTCTAGACTTCAGCCGAGATCTAGGCTGCACCAAGAGTAACTGAGTAGATGATTTA